AAACTATTAGTTTTGTTTAATTTAGATTTGAAGTATGGGTAAATTTAAAATATTGAACCTAACGGAGTCATACTATCATATGCTTATTGAGTTATTTAATCAATAGTACTCAAATTTATATGATGAGGACATCCGACCTTGGAGAGTCTACCAGAGACGGGGTCGTCGATCTACGGCCACGATTGCACCCTTTTACTTTTGATTATCATTGTATTAGATTTATTATCGATGTATTAGATTATTATGTTTATGAGTTTTATTGTACCTTACCTTTTATTTGCTCACTTGAGGGCCTAGTTATTTGGAGGGCCTAGGGGCAAGTTGGTCTTTTATATTTTCTTCATTGTATTGGCTATTTAAAGCCTCCTCATTCTTTGAGAGGATGATGATTATTAGAAGAAATGTTTGCACTTGTGTGTTTTGGGAGAGCTTGAGAGTTCTTGGAGAGATTGAAGTCTGAGGGCATCGCAATACCAACCAACCACAGGAAGTGTCCGGATTTGTGGTCAACCTCCTCGCTTCCCTTTCTTCCCCTCTCCCCACAAACCGCCTGCCACATCTCCCTCCCTCCCTCTCTCGGTTGAATCCCACCCCCAACATAACCCCAACTGGCCACATCTCCCACCTCCAAGTTGCTGGCCTCCCTCTCATCCCCACTTAACCCGTGGGCCCTAAGTCCAATTCACCCACGCCCACACCCACCTAACCCTAAATTCCTTACCCTCTCCTTAATCGCCGGCTTCCCTTGCCCAATCCCTAGCCGCCAGCACACCATCTCTCCCTTGGATCCAAATTTTCATCACATTCATTACTTTCCTAAATTAATCATGGTAAATTTGGAAAGATAATCAAATCGATTTTGAATCAATTTCAAATTTGAATTCTTTCTAATTTAACCTAAGTTATATTTGGAAAGTTTCTAGATCAAGTCAATTTATATTTGAATTTAATTTTATATTAGGAAACCATTTGAAATCCTTCCTAACTCCCCTCTCCCTCCTATAGCCGCCGGCGCTACCTCTCTCCTCCCATTAATTCTTCCCTCTCATTAATCCACAATCAATACCAATCAAGGGCTCTCCCCCCCCCCCCCCCCCCCCCCCCTCTTTTTTTCCTCTCTTAGTCAATTAATGCTCCCATTAAACCCTCCAATCAATCCACTAATTTCCCCACAAGACAAGCTGCCCCTCTTCCTCTCTGCTATCTAATTCAACTACTCTACTAAACTCTCAAATTATCTTTCCCCTTAACCCCTCTCAACCCTAGCCACCTCTTCCCAAGCCTCTCCCTCACATCTCTTTCCCTTTTTCTGAAAACTGTTTGCTGTCCAGAAAAATTCAGCAAGGTTCTTTGTTGTTCAACCCTCCAGAAAGAAGCCGTTTGCTGTCCAAAAGCATTAGTACATTAAAATGGACTATTCCCACATGCATGGCAGATCCAGAACTTAATCACGGATTCATCTACAATGATCAATGTCAAGTTGATATCCTCAACTCACCATTTATAAATTGATCAAACCGTAGAGGATTACATAGAGAGAATCGTCTTCACCCCCACTGAAGCCATCGACGAACAACTCTCCTCCATGCAGTGACAGATCGTTTCCAAACCTTGATCAAGGTGAATCTTTCCTCCAAATATTTTTCCTTTCTAAGTCTTACCTTAACTTGTGGCATCACAAAGACCATGCAATGCTTTCTCCGTTTTACCAATCATCAAAAGAGTTGAGTGAGGGACCCAATTAGTTAATCTTATTGTTAATTTAGGGATTTCTCGTTGAAAATCCTTCATGTATGTTATGCTTGAATAATTGATTATTTTGTGATTTTAACTTCTAGTTGTGTGACGTGGTCTAAGCTAGTTTCATCCCTCCTTGTTTTCGTTCATTGTTTAAAATGACTATAAGTTTAATATTTAATATTGCTCTCAAATAAAAGCGTGCAACTTCTTATTTAACATTGCGGAAGCATTTAAGTCCTACATCATTATAGCTTGCAAATTAACATTGAAATCAAACCGAACTGAATCAATAAACCAATTTAAAATGAGTTTGACCAATCTAAATCATAGATCTTTTGTTTTGTTTCTCATCATAAATCAAATACAACAACAACATCAAGCCTTCAACCCACTGTGGGATTGCTACATGAAAGATCATTTTTCTCATTTTGTCATGTTAAGAGTCAAATTCTCATTTAAATATAATAAAAAATGTCATTTCTAATATTTACTACGTCTTTTTTGGTGGAAATTCTCATCATTAATCAAAATCAAACCAAAAGTTAAAACAAATTGAATGGTTCAATTTTTTATTTGGTTTTAGTTTTTATTCATTTGATTTTGGTTCCACTTTACTGTTCATAATTACGTTAAGTTTAGTTTGGTTCCAAATCGTGGAACTACATTGAACCTTGTTCTTATTGCTTTGATTTTTGTTGGTGTGGTTTCTTCCCGTTTTCCTGGATATTAATTATCGTAGATTTGAGTGGTTGTGGTATTTTTAAAAGTATGCATGTGTTCATTTATCTTGTTGTTTCTTGTTCTCTATTATTTTTGTTGTTATTGTTTATGCTTCATGGACCTAGTTTTATTTTTGGTTCTATTCTATTGTTTTGTTAGGGAGTATGAACCAAAGGAGACAAACATTCGGCACGATTTACTCGTGGTCAAAATTATTTTTCAATTTTAATCATTTAGTATTTCTACATTTTTCATCTTTAACTAGTAGATCTAAAACCGAATGCATGCAGTGTAATTTTAGTAGTAATAGATTTAGTGATGAGACTGTTACAGTAGGTGATCAATTCATTAAAAAAAGGATATATTTTAGATATCTTTGGTCTATTGTTCAAAGCCATGGTGAAATAGCTGGAGATATTATTAGTAGAATTCAAGTTTGATGGTTGAATTGGAGGAATGCATTGGGCCTGTTTGGTGATATAAAGTATCTCTCAAACTTAAGGGAAATTTTATAAGATGATGGTGAGGCCTGTAATGGTTTATGGTGCAGAGTGTTGGCCATTAAAAGAGATGCTTAAACTTAAGTTAAGTGTCGCAGAGATGAGGATGCTCAGGTAGATAAGTGTCTTTACTCTTAGCGACGGAAGATGAAATGAGTATATACGTAAAAAGGTTGGAGTAGCTCCAATTGTAGTAAGATAAGAGAGAGTTGCCTTAGATGGTTTGGTCGTACAAAATTTCGGCCTTCTGATGACCTGGTTAAGACAGTAGATGTATTAGATTTGATCTATGTTAAGAAAGGTAAAGGTAGATCTAAAAAAACTTGGTTAGAAAGTATTAGAAATGACTTTTTTATTAGATTTGAATAAGAATTTGACTCTTACAAGACACAATGGGGAAAAATGATTCTTATTGCCAACCCCACATAGCAGAATAATGGCTTGATCTTGTTGTTGTTACACATCTTCATCTTTAACTATTCAATGCAGTACATAAAGTAATACCCTATCTTATCTTAATTATCTCGCATCACAAGAGAACTCTTTATATTGATCATCATTCCCCTTCAATCAGAAGCTTTTTAAAACCATTAGTTATCATGCACCAAGATTTCACTCAACCATATGCATCTCTTTTAGGAGTTACCCATTATTGGACTTTGCTCAACTATGTTAGGAGGCAGCCAAGATGCAATGAAGCCATAAACTACATGAATTACTTATCACTTGTGAATCATCCGCTCTGATAGCATTTCATGAGGGAGGGTGTGAACCCATAGGGACCAAAGTTATGATAGATATAATAGTGGTTAAATCTATCTTAAAACTCAAAAGTTTAAGGCTATGGGTTAGAGGCACCCTGTTTTCCTCTCTTTTTTTACACCAAAATATTTTTCAACTATTTGATGTGAGACTAAACCCAATACTCTCTTGTGCCTTAACATGCTATGTAGCATGCGGCAAAACTTTTAACATTCATTCTCTGTTGTAGTTTGTGCTTTTTAATGTCGACTACCAATTTCTTTAGCTTTATTTTGATTCATCACCAATATATAATTGAATGGCATTTTATATGCAACCAATCCAACAGAACGATGATGAGTAAGAGATGGAATTGGTCTTGTTTTGGATTTGAATCACTCTACTATTTTTTAACTAATTTGTTTGCATTATGACTCACTTGCTTGGTTGCTCTGTCCTAATCGTAATGATGTAGCTTGCTATGCTTTTTAAGCCATGGGTACTCATAAATCCTCTTTTGAATTTTAGTATTTAAAAATTGAACTTTGTACTATTTTGTATTACACTCTCAATATTTTATTTAAAATAACATAAATATTTTCATAATTTTATAGTGCCTTGGAGGCTGTTGAACATTTAATACCCTACAATGTTTATCTAGTACTAAATCGTTAAGGCTGCTTGAGAAGAAATCTTGAAAATCCCTTTTAACTATATTCCTGTTCAGCGAAAGTTGTTGCTAAATAATTGTTACGGCTTAAATATTACTTATTATCTTCTTCTATTGGCGCTAATAGCTAATTTAAGAGATTATAATCTACAATTTCCCCTTCAGAACCTTATTTATTCTTTTTTAAATTCGTTTCTTTGTTGGTTAGCCAAAATATCTGTTAAATTATCTACTGCAAAGCCTCTGCAAGTCATGTACCATGGAAGTACTAGATTATCTTTTATCGTCTTTACTTGTTATGTTCCTTTTGCTGTTTATTCTTTCTGTATTCCCGTTTTATGTCACATTCTGTATTCATTTTATTTTCTAGTCAACAAGATTCTCTGCAAATTAGATTGTACATTTTACCTTTTTTTCTGAAAGAATTTTAACTAATATAATTACCTCTGGAGCTTGAAATCATTGATGGGCCAAAACATAGCGACTGAAAATTTTGTTTCCATGTAGATGAGTTCTCATATCAATAAATGCAACAGTGGTGTTCTTAAAATTATTTTTCAAGTCTTAATGAAATTGTTCTAGGCGTTTGTAAAAGAATTGACTATTGAACTTTACAGTTGTAATCATACCTCAAAATATTCGATGACTTTCTGTGAATTTTGACCTAATGGTCCTGAATAGGTCACCCGTCCTCCTTTTTTTATCAAAATTAACTGCAAAATGTATACCGTCATATTAATATTGCACATAGTATCCACAGGATGATAAAATGCGAGAATCATAATTTTTCTATATAACGTTTCTTTCATTTAATTGAGTATCTTTGCATGTCAAGTGCTTTTATTTGCTAAACTACTTTGTTTTTATTGCCTGGCAATTCAAAGTGTGCTCAAGAATGCTCTTGAAAGTTTGGTAATTATTTGTGGGAGACTAGCAGCATTCTCTTTTAATAGTTCCTTATATTACGAATATTTTCATGATCATGCTTTATTCCAATGATTGTTGCATCTTAAAGAATTCATTTCATATTGAAGTATTGGGTGGTCAGTTATCAAGGAACTTTTTTGAAATTGTTTTGTAAATTAATGAACCAAATTCTTTGACCATGTCTTGAACTTTAATGCACCGCTGAACTTTATATTATCTAGATTGAAAAATAGAGTTGTTTGAATCTTTAGGACACTTTTGAACAGTTAAGAGTGTGGGGTAGATAAAATTCTTATCTGCTTTCGATGCTAAGGCTGATCCAAAAAGATCTTTAAGCATTATTGATGGAGGTCTTGATGATGGGGTGGTACTTAGTGGTCCAATTCTTCCTCTCTTGAATTGTTTGATTTCTCCCTAAAGTTCAACTCCTAATTGTGAGAGGATTAAACGAGTTTTTTATTTTTAAGATTGACATAGGTTTATAGGGAGAGAATATGAGGAAATTTAATTGGAAGATAAATCCCAGAAGGAAATATAGATGGAGGAATTCCAAGGAGTCTTGTAAGTCTGGAGATTTTGGATTATCTAGAGAACTGCATAGCTATAGCTTATGAGATAACGGGAACCATGGGGAAAAGTAAAGAGAAAACACACAATCAAGGATAAAATAAATGAGTGATTTCAATTAAATTCATAATATGATGATGCATTTACTTAATTATGGATCAAAGAAAAGACAAATGAATGTTTGTATGATATTTAAGGATATATTGTTTGAGTATGATTTGAAAAGATATTGGACTCTTACTGATAAATAATTTGAGAAATACTTTTGAAAGATACACAAAGTTGGGATGACCAAGATGATAGTGTAACAATATAATTTAACTATCTTTGTGGACATTGGAATTGGACATAAAATTGAAAGATTCTAATAAACTCTAAGATTGGATGCAACTTGCTTGAGAAAGTTGGTTTAGAATTTCTCTCATGGGAGGAGATAGAGCCCAGAGCACTATTTAGCTTTGCCAATCATCATCCCCCGATTTCAAGTCCTAAAAAACACACTAGTTTGGATAAAATTTAGTAACATATTGATAGTCATGAGCCAATTTGCTAATGGATGAAAGGCCACAATCTGAGTTTGGAACATGGAGGACATAGTTGAAATACAACTCTTTAATAAGTTCAATGGAACATGTTCCAACAATTTTAAAATTTGAACCATTAGCAATGCAGACGGACAATTGACCACTACTTGGCTTGTAATTTTGGAGAAGGGTAGCATCTCTTATCATGTGATTAGAAGTACCAGGGTTAACTATCCACGACCTCATTTCTCCTCCTTTAGTAGTGAAGATAGTATGTGAATCTATTTAAGCAACCAAACTTGTCCCAATAATGCTACCATTGCCAACTTGACTAAACAATTTTTACAGCAAATACATTAGAATTTTTCAATCTTCCACTTTCTGAAACCTCTATATGTACTCTAGCATGGCTGGTGCTTCCAAGAGGTACATATCATTTCCCTTATCACAAATGAACAACATAGATTGTGACCACTGCAAATAATTATGACCATTTATGATGGGGACATCAGATTATCATGGAGAGATTACCAGCGACGTGGCCGCCGATCTACAGCTACGATCGAGTCGTTATATTTTTGAGTCGATGTATTTTGTTTTCATGCATTTTATTATTTGCTTATGAATATTTATTTTATTTCCCTTTGTACCCCTTTGTATGAGAATGGTCATGTGTAAGCCTAAGGGCAATTGTGTCATGTCAGTTAGAGTCTTGTGTATGAGGCTATTTAAAGCCCCTTTATTTTATTTTCAAGCGAATGAATGATTATTGAAATTTCTTTGTACACTTGTGTTGTGAGAGCCTTTGAGAGTTCTTGGAGAGCTTTGGAGAGATCCCTTGGAGAGGGAGATTAGCGCATCACCCACCAACCTTGGAGACGGCCGGGTTCGTGGTTTTTCTTATTTTCTTTTCTTTATCTTGTCATCACCTCCCCCACGCACATCTTCCTCCTTCCACTTCCCACCGCCGGCCATAGCCCCTACCATTTCCCTTCCCAAAACACCACAAACTCACCTTGCCGAAGCCCCTTTGCCGCCGGCCACAGCCCATAACCGCTGGCCATAGCCCATGCCGCCGTCCCATTGCATTAGCCGCCGGCCTCCCATCCCTTTGCCTCTTTATGGTATTTCCTAATTCAAGGGTGGGATTAATTAGGGTAATTTGAAATTCAAATTCACCAAAGAAAATTTGAATTCAAATTGTTTCCTAAATTAGCTCTTCTATTTTAGGAAAGTATGTGATTTAAATCTATTTTGGATTTTAAATTCAAGAGGATTTAAATTAACTATTTCCTAATTCTAAATCCTAAATTAGGAAGCCTTAATTGTTCTCCTCAATCAAGCCCTCACCTAAGCATGCCACCGGCCCCATGCTCTCCTCCATTAATTCCCTTTCAAATTATTTCGTAACACCAACACCTCTCTTAGGAAATATTTCAAAATCCCCAATATCCCCCTTGGCCGAATTCCTCAATCACCTCATGCTTGCATTTATTTCCTGGATCAATTAATCAATTTAGGGAATTCAAACTTCACGCCTCCATCAGCCCGCTGCCCCTCTCCATTGCCATCTCTCTCTCTCAAATCCCCTCTCCACCTTTGGTTCCCTAGTGGACTAATTCCTTATCCCTCACTACTTCAAGTTCATCTTCCCTCTACACCCAAACTGAGAATTCCTCTCAGATTTCTGAGATAAATTCAGAATTATTTCAGATTTTTGAAATGGTCAAATTCAGATTTTGGAAGGAAACTTGGAGCTCACTCTTCGCCGCTACTTGAGAGTTGTACCTTTGTACCACAGAGATTTTATTTCCAAGCACCAATGAATGACGGGATCTATTGACGAGCATCTCGAAGGCATCGATTGGAGGATCGCCGCGTCTCCTTAAGCAAAGGTTCTCCTTTTCACTTGCATTTTATTTCTTCTAAATCTAAATTCTCATTGGGTGATTGTAATCACGAAAGCGCCTTCAATTGCTCTTGCCAAGCCTAGTCATTTGTAGGAATTGGTGTAATCTTCTATGCATCCTACGCCTCGTTGTTAGATTAGGGATTTAACTTGAAAACTACTATCATGTATTGCTTCTATTTTCTTAATTATCTTGATAGTTCAAACTCGGAGCATGTGATTTAGCCTACGCAATTGATCCACTCATTTGTTTTAATTGTTGTTTGAAAATTGTTTGTAATTTTGTTCCGAAATTGTTCTAATCTATTAGTTGTGCATGATTGATTTTTCTGAATTATAGAAAGAATTAAGCTAATTAGTTATTTCCTTTATGACATTTTTTTAGTATATATTGCAGATGAAGTACTTATTTTAATAGAAGAAATATCAATTAAGAAATTCTTCAGGATAACAGAAACTAGTTTTTTGAACCCTATTTCCTTTAGGCCGCTCTCTCTAACAGATTCTTTTCAGGTCATCTCTTCTATGTTTCTCATGCGATTCTCTTTTGGTCAGTGTTCGTCCCGGCATTCTTCTTCTTATTTTCTAGTAATCTTTTTTTTCGTTCTTACCCCTTATCCTTCTTTGCAATACGGAATGACCTCATCAAAACATTCGGCATCAATGACACCACAATCAAGAAGCAGTTTAGAAATTTTAAACCTAGGAGGAAGTGAATTCTTCTCCTATTTTCATAACATGATACAAATTAAATTGATGCAGGACTACTTAGATGACATGCTTATGGATTCATGTGGGCATTGC